CTGGAGTAAAAGCAGTATGCTTGGGAGGAAAAATATTTTAGTCCTGAGCATATTTGATTCTTAAAACATGTATCTTGTATCAGAGAAAGAACACTTTAAAAATGCAATCCAGCAGCACATACTTTAAAAGACTTAGGAATAGACTCTCTAAACAACTTCCAGAGTTACTAAATTATGGAGACAAGGTCATCACTTTATGTTGTGTCATAAAACAAAAAATACGGCTAGTTCCACGAACAATGCTGGAAGCTCCACCATACAGACACATCCACATCAGAAATACCACCCTTGCTGTATTTCTTTGATAGAGATGTCTCTCCATTATGCTGATTTCTCGATCAAAGAGAAAGCTTTACTCCTGTATTTGTCTTCCGCAAGGAAACATAAAATCACTCCTACAGTGAACACATCCATCGGGAATGAGATTCTTTTTCCTCAACCCCAGCAGCACACAGTCCCAGAAAAGAACAGGTGAAGCTCTCTCCTACTTCAAACCAGTGTGAGATGTAGTTGTGTGGTTAATTCTGCCTCTGTACATAAGCAAACATGCCACTTGCAAAATATGAAAGGCTTTCTTCCCTGCCCCACTTTTAAATGACACCTGCAAATCACTAATCCAGTTGCCATTTATTTCCATATGTCAAATTACAATCTTAACTTGTGCAAAGCAACATAATAGTAATGATTAAGCCAATTACATCACAACACAGCTTAAAACGACACACAAAGGAAGGATTAAAGCTCGCTACCAAATAAGAGAGTCCTGTTCTTGGTGGAGCTCCCCCACTGTGGGAACAGAAGTGTCTCTTTTCCTGTTGCACAAACTTGTGAGCCTTCTGACATGTAGCTGCTGGACTGCCATTAACAAACGCATTTGTATTAATGCAGCACAAAGCTGGGATCACTGCACCTCGGCATTAGCTGCGGAGGGCGGGCTCTGTGGCCAGCGCTGCCAACATGGCCGATGGCACCGCACAGCTCCACACACAGGCTGGCACACGTGCACCAGGTGATCTCACCAGGCTTAACTGAGCGAAGCCTCCCTAACCTACGTTATTTGGGTCAGGCGGATGCTGACAGCAAAAGCTTTAGGGAAAGGGAGGGAGAGCAAACCGAGCGCAGATATTTAAAAAGTCAGGCATCCTGCTCTCGAGATAGGGCCAGACACCCTTTGCAGCGTGTATGAAGCGTGTGCTGCTGCATTTGACACCATAACTCCAACTGATGCCCTACAACAACAAAATGTGAGTTAAATCTTTACATAATAACCAACCTTTCACACTAAGATTTTCAATTCTACCTCAGGGATAAAAAGGTTCTAATGGAAATTGAGCATCTGAATCTCTTAGGAGGATTTAAAAAACTCCCACACTCCTATTTTTATTTGTTCATTACCTTAGTCTTTAAATGAGCATTATTCAAAATGGTTAAACATTTTACCTTTTACTTCTGCCCTGGGCATCTTTTTTTTTCTCTTTCTTTTTCACATCTTTGTATTCCTCCTATTTTCTCTGCCATCTGCAAACACTGGTCCCATCTGCTAAAATTTAACTTCCTACTCAGCTAAAATAAACACAAAATAAATTGGTACTGTTAGTATTTTAAAAATCATCATTAGGCTTTAGTAAGATTAATGGAACTCAAACAGTTTCCAACTTGGAAATACATTCCTGTGTGTTGACTGCAGACTTGGGCAGATATCACTCCATCTATAGAGTAAGAGTGAGCTCTTACTCTACCTTAGTTTCTTGGCAACTATGGTTTTGAAAGAACTTATTATATATGTAAGTTTATTCTCATCAGAATTTGAACAAACCACTGTTAAGCCTGTCCCACATCACCTATCAGCTGCTCATGATTTGCTACGTGGTCATTCCCCCTACATGTCTCCATGCATAACCACACATATATCACAACCCTTCTAAATATTGAAAAAAAGACGCAGTCAAAAGCTGGGAGGTTTTTTTCTTTAAAAACAAACATGCATTCAAGTACACACACAAATAAATGCATAAACTGAACTGAACACCACGCGTACCATCTTCGAAAAAGCTGTTACAGCACACCAACAGCTTCCTCCTCCTGTAAAATTAGTTGCATAGAAAGCTGAATGGGTTTACTTCCTTCTAGTCAACCAAAAGAAAGCTTTGGACAGCAATGCAATCAAATCTGTACTTATTTTACATATTTATAATTATCAAACAACAACTTTTTTTTAAAACTGATTGAAAATGTGCTTAGATTTTTATGCCCTTTTAAACAGTACTGGTCTCACATATGCACAAAATGAAAACAAGAAGTTTATAATAAATGTAATTTTTACTCTAATAAATGCATTATGTCCTACATTTGTTTGGGGAAGACTGTTTACTTATTAATAAGTTGAGGAGGAGGAAACATTTTTAAGGACTGCTATTAATGGTTTGCAATTTGCACCTGCTCCATGGTTAAGGAGTAAAGACAGGATTTGGTACTTCAAGGTGCCTTTTCCCTGGGTATTTTGAAAGTTTGACACAGTTTCTTTTGTTTTCATTTTATTTTCTAAAATAAGAATTATTTTGTCTAAATCAATATGCATAACTTGTATCAAAAGCATCCTGTAGCTGATTTCTACAAACACTTACGAGGATGATGATCATCATCCAAGACTCAGCCATTCAAGGGGCCAGATCTACATCAGCCAGGTCTTCACTTTGCCAATCATAACTACAGTGAAGCTGAACAATATTCTGATGTCTCATTCAGAACCTTTTCCTGAGAAACAGTCCCATTTGCTGCCAGTATGCATATTTACCATGAGACTGAGATCATGGAGATTTTAAGAATAACAAATGACATTGTACATTCTTTTAGTAGTCTACAAATATCGTTTTTAAAAAGACACTATTCTTGTATGTATCTACAGGCAACACAGCCTGTCAACAGCTTAGAACTAAGTGGCATCTAAGGATAGGTGGAATGGATGCAGTCAAAAGAAGAGTCATCCCCTGCAGCAAACTGTGCTTCTGCTCCTGCATACAGAGGGGCCCTACAATGTTGCAAGCTGAGACATATTCTACACCCAAATCCAAAAAAGACAGCTCCCCTCAACAGTCTACAATAGCCCTGGAGGAAAATGCAGGCTAAAAGCAGGTACCAAGGAAATCACTGCATGGTGCAAATTTTTAACCTGAAAACCTTCTCAACTATTAGGTAGCCAACTGTGTTATCATATCAACTTACTTCCTAATTTATAAAATTAACTATTTTTCATTTAAAAAATTTTGCTTATACAAATTCCCTACTGGCACACAAACTCATCTGTTAATGTAACAGAGACACTGGCACTTATTTGTCATTGAGACAGACAGTAAGGAAAGAATGTCAAGGGAGAGAAGGGAAGAAAATGCTTTTGCAGCATCTCTAAATAAACAGCAAAAATAAATTCTGGGATTAACAAGTTTTGGATGATACATTTAGTTTTCTTTTTGATTGATAAAAAGTACATGACATTCCTAGGAATAGTTAGTTCACTATAAAACATAAAGCTACTATTAGAAGAGAGTTTAAAAGATCTTGATGGTTCTGAAGACCAATCTTAGGAAAAAAGATGCTGTGTAGTCTGGACACTGATGGTCAGAGCTAGCAACAAACTGAATTCAGCTCTGCAAAACAGAAGCTTAGCAACAGAAAGCTCTTAAAAGTTTTTGTAATAAAAAGGAGTTTCAAAGGATGTCCATCAGGATGACAAGACATAAAAACACCTTGTAAATCTAGCCATGAAAAAAACTCAAAAGCCTCCTCCACAGTGCTTTTTTTTAGCTCTGAGAGTGACTGGCAAAAATAATCATCAGTAATATTTCTTTTTACCCACCTAGTCTGAAGGATTATGGAGATGAGCTCACAAGAGCTGACCCTCCAGGTTTATTAAATATTCAATGAATATTCTGTATGCTTGCTGGGTATTAAATAAAAATCAGAAAATACTGCAGACTACCATATATTATATACTTCAAATAATACCAAAGTAGCTCTGTTTGTTTTCTAATAATTTATTGAAATCACTTTATCACATATCAACATAAAAATGTACAATATAGACACAATGTAAATTTTGGCATCATGAATATTTATGCACTTTTAATGCTTTTTTTTCCCTGCTAGTTAATTTTGCTTATTGTATTCCAAATAAACCTGGAGAACTTATTCAATATTTTCTTGCTTTTCCTTTTTACCTTAATAGTAACAGCACTGCTATTTTCCCACCTGCAGTAGCATCACAGCATATGGGCTTTCAGCAGCAGGAAACTCTTCACTCTCATGATTTAGCCTACTGTTCCTACAACCTCCATTTTTCCTTCCCCATCCACTCTTCCTGGCTAAATGGTTATAGCCTACACACAATCTGCCCTGATTAAAATCATCTGCTATTAGTGCTCAGTTAAAACAGTGGTCATCACCACAATGCTCACTGGCCAAAGAAACTTGAGCACCAGGTAGGACACAGCCCATCCATGCAGCTGGGCAGGTCTGAAGTCATCTCTCCAACACACACTGCCCGCCACACGCTGATCTACAATTGAACACAGGGTGATGCAGCTGTTCAATGCACTACTTCCTACTCAAAATGCTCTGTGAAAAAGGGCCTGAACAAAGTGGCTTACTCAGCAGACTGCCAAGCAGACAACAAGTACAATTTCTGAGTTGCAAATCTATGGAACAAGAATAAATTCAGCGTTTGGGCAAGTCCAATCTTAAAAACTACTGCTAAGCTGATCTTACACGGGTCCACGAGGGTTTCTGCAAGTAAAACTTGCTCACAGGTTTTATACCAAGAAACGGATTTAGACAGCTTGTGTGCCATTCTCAGATTATCACACACAAGGCAAAGTTTCTGAATTGATGGATGTAAGTCACAGGACCCTCAATTCTCAGGTTGAAAATTGTCATTTTCTGTGGCATCACATCCAACAATTCATATTGCTGGGACCTATATAACAAAACTGCACCAAACTACACACCTTGTGTCCAAATGTAGCATCCTCGGAGGCCAAGACTTCAACCTGAAATTATAAGGAGAAAGATAATTTCAAATTTAGCCACCACCAAGAACCTCTCTCTCCTGAGCACAGCACCACATTTCAGGCAAAGAACTGATCTGTAAATGAAGGTGTCAGTCTGGATCAACCCTAGGAAACCTGCACATGACAAGATGTGCAAAACTAACAGTTGACAATAGAAATCCTCGAGTGAAGAAACTTAGAGAACATCCCTCACGACACAAACAAGGTTTCTCCACCTGAATGACATAAAGAATACCTGCCAGTGTCCCAGAATTTACTGTACTACAGCTGGAACATTTTTCTCCATACAGAATTTTGACTACACCAAAAAGCTGCCTGAGCACAACCAGAATGATCTGCCATAGTAAGTCCCTGCAAAAAAAAAAAAAAAAGCTGGAAACCCCTGACCTCTTTCCCTCCTGTTACCCTCTCAGCAGGCTGGGTACTTCTGCACCAGCACAAGTGGAACTGCAACAAGGAGAGCCAAGGTCCTGGTTGCGTGCTCCTGTCCTGTCTTGCAAGAGACAACTGTTTGAAAACTAGAATTTGGGGAACACAGGCTCCCCAGGCAAAGGCTGAGACCAACTGGCTGAGAGATACAGGGAGTGTTTGAAAGTCTGACAAAAACAAGCTGTCAGGTCATTGAGTGGTGCTCCAGATGAAAGCCCTTGCTTTGGCCATACACTGGTTGCCACACTGGTGGCAAAGCCCTTGCTGGTTGCCACACACTGTCCAGCTCTAGAGCTGATACACGTTCCACTGCAACAACAGGAACAGCCCTAGGAAAGCAGGCACACTGATTTTTCATTAGACTCCTTAAAAATGCTTCACACTTTGGCACCTTTCACCTGAGAATCTCGGTCTTTTATGAATTCTAATTAATTAAGCTTCCCAATACACCAGTGAAGTCAGAAATGTCATCATCCCAATATAGAGAGAGAAGAGTGAGGCAGAAAGAGATTGAATAATTTTTTAGTAGTTATGTGCCAAGCCAGGGACACACTCATGGAAAGAATCCCAGATCTCTCCTCTCAGGCTCACAGTTTAACAACTAGGAAATTCTCTGTTTCTCTGATTTACATCGTATTTAGAATGCCTACTCTTGCATTATAATTTATACAACTAGTATAACTAATGCATCTAATCTCCAGTTTAACTTAAGAAGAGTGAAGGATTTAAAGCAAATCAAAAGGGAAAAAATGAATGTGAAGTTTCACCCTGAAGCATGTTATAATGCCAGAGTTATAAACCCCTGAACAAGAGGGTTTATAATGGAAAGGCTGATAAACTAACAATGATGGGAGCACTTAAATATATTTATGTCATAATCTAGCAACATATGGTATTTCTTCATCTTTAAATTAAAAAAGGGAAGAGAAAAAAAAAAAGTGGGAGGGAGATAAAGCATTCACAGGAACTAGGAATAAATGAAGAAAATGAACCTAGAGTTACCCAATTGTGACCTGTCCAGCTAATTAGGAATGACAGTAAGAGGCTACAAAATAGCATCTCATTCAATAGGAGGTAGGGAAAAAATCCAAGTAAATAAAATCAATCTAAAATGATATGATACATATTAGCTCCTTATATTAAGCTTCTAATCCTTTAGGCACTTTATAAATATTAAACAATCAGTCCTGGTGAGACTGATAAATATCCATAATATATTTTACAGATGAAGAAACAGAGGGTTAAGTGACTTGCCCAGGGCCAGAAAGAATAATCAGCCATTGGATTGGAAATAACTGTATGACTGCTTGTCACAATACACTGCCCTGCTCAGACGCTCAGGTGGCTTCTGAAAAAAGTCATTCCACTATCAGAAGCATCTTGCTTAGGGGTTAGGGTTAGAGTTAATGTGGTACACATCTGAAGTGTCAATGCTCATTTTCACTAGGCTTACTGTTTTGGTACAGAATCTGGTACATTTGGGGTCTATCACCACTAGATATACACCAAAAACTTTTTCAAACTTACTTAGTTCTCTCCATCCAGTATTATGTAGTCGTATATCCCAGATGCTATCTCCAGTCCCATTAATTGTAGAATCATAAAGGTTGGAAAAGACCTCCAATATCATCAAGTCCAACCTTTTATGGAACACAAGTGCTACATCCAGTTGTTTCTTGAAGATTTCCAGGAATAGTGATTCCACCAGCTCCCTGAGCAGCCCATTCCAATACCTGACTACCCTTTCAGTGAAGAAATTTTTCATGATGTCCCATTTGAACTTCCTCTGTATCCTTCTGTCCTGTCACTTGCTGCCTGGGAGAAGAGACTGACCCCCACCTGGGTACAACCTCAGTTGTTGTACCTTTCAGGTAGCTGCAGAGAGTGGATGCTCATTACTGCGCTACACTTCTATTGTGGAGATCCATTAGAGAAAAAATGGAGCCTTCTTTGTGCCACAGGGTCCTTCTCTGACTTCCTCCTTGAATCCATCAGAGATGCTGAAGCCTTGCCAGCCCCAGTACTCTCTGTCTCCCCTTCCCTGCAGTCCCTTCTTCCTCCCTCTCCTTCCCAAGGGTCCCAGCTGGGTGGACAGCCCCTGTCCAGGGCTGCCTGTCCCCTGCCCCACAGAAGCGCAACATGGATGGGATGGCACGGGAACCCTGCACCAACCCAGCACAGACCAGGCAGAGTTTTAGTTTGGGCTCTGCACTGCACTTCATCTGCACAGAGGCCACCTCACATGCCAGGAGCCCCAGTGCAGAGCACAGGCATATTGTCAGCACCTGGGCTCTGCTGAGGAAGCTCCTGCTCAGGGCCAAGAGAATGCTCCCAACTGTCACAGCTTCAAAACACATTAATTAACACAATGACCAACACATGTGCAAAACTCAATTGTAGTTTCACCAAGAAACTGAGAGGAAGAACAAACTGTGATATCAAAGAGTAAAACAGACATTTAAGCTAGTTTAACACACTCTTTAGTCTCTTTCATAGATAGAAATATTTTCTTTTATGCTTGGAAACATAAGGCTCACAGAGACAGTAAAATGGTTTGGAGTGAAGATAGATAACAATTCTAATTAAGAATGTTATTGAACAGGTCTGATAAAGCTGCTTCTACTTTTCCAAGAATGATCACCCCACTTCTGTGATAAATAACTGTCCTCACCTTGCAGATGATACAATGAAACATTCTCTGTATTCTTTGTTACTACTGTGTTTTAACAGTGCACTAGTGCCTTAGTCCTTTCATTTGGATTTTCACCTCCTTGTATAAAGGACAGTTAAGCTAAGTAAGAGACAAGTAACTGCTGACACCATAAGATACACAACATGACTAAAACAAGATGTGGGACTGCATGAGGTTTTCCTCATGCTGAGCTTCCAAAAAAACCCCACAAAACCAAAATGAAACAAAACAAACAAACCCAAAATAAAAACAACCAAACCAAAACAAAAAAACAACAAAAACCCCAAAATGCACTACAACCCAGGCTGAGTGGACCCCCCTCTAGTGGGAACGCTCGTGTACTTCAATCAGCACCCACATCACCCCAGCAAAAGAGAACATTACCTTAAGAATCAGGCAAGCACCATCTCTCTCTTAATTGCCTTCAGAATATATCCCTTCCATTCCAATACATAAAAAAATAAACAAGACATTCATTATTGCTTTAAGATAATCTGATGTTAATCAAGAACTTCCCATTATATACCTATTTGTGGCAGCTAAACTTTTTTTATTTTAGTTGACTGTTCTGAGTGTGTACACATGTAAATATCTTGGGTAGGAGGAGTGTTTTTCTTTTACAGTGAAAAATTCACTGCATCACTAAAAAATGCAGACTTGATTCTTAAATGAAGCACTGCTGCTTTCATGTACATATTTATATCTGTATCAGATACAGCAGCTTTCCCCTAGGCACTGCCCTGAATCTTTGCTCCAGTCTACACTTCCTGCTCCTTCAAAACACAGTGCTACAGTTGAATGCTGTTTGCGCCTATTTAATTTCTGTGTAAAAGCAGTTTTTGGTCACTGTTCTTTGGTCAGTTTTTTCCCAGATTATCTAAAAAATGAAACAGCCTTTTCGCTCCTAACTGCACAGTATCCTGCAATTTAGGGCTAGAAGACTATTGCAAGTGGTAAGGGGTAAATGAAGGGGTAGTGTTCTAGGGAGTGTGTGTATCAACCATACGCTGTGGATCAATGGCACGAGACACAATCAGTGGTGTAAGCAGGAGTGTCCCACAGCTGAACAGCTGCACAGGCCTGTCCTGCCTGGGCAGCTGACTTTCCTACAGCCTGCTCCTGCTGCTGCCCTCAGTCTGAGCGCAGCCTTCTGGGGCTGCCCAGGATGGGGTCCAGAAAGCTCCCCAGTGCCTGGCAAGGTGAGCTTCCCGCCTCCCTGCACAACTTACACAGACTCCAAAAATGGACAGCTATGGCCCAGACCGCTACTGCCTATGTAGTATTCTATGATTAAATGGTCAAATAGAACAGCATTTAGTATTTTTTTGTAAGATGAAAGAATTCATAAATGTCATGTCAGCCAGAAGGACCTAATGAGTAACGTGTGCAGTACCCTGAAACAAGATGGTGTGTAGCCTTGAGTCTCTTTCTGTCAGAAGTAATGAAACTTTGTCAGTAGTTCTATTTTGCTTCTCAATAAATGACTCATACAGACCCAGTTCAACAAAGAATATTGCATCGCGACCAAGAGACTTACAGTAAATTACACACAGTCATTTTTACCTCCCTGTCAAAGAGAAAAGGAGTTGAAACATAGATAGAACCCTTGAGGCGCAATGCTGAACATGGCCTTTCTGGAACAAAGTTGTACAACCTAGTGACCAGATGACACAAAGAATTATTATAATTTGTTCTTTTTCAAAGCCATCTTCAGCATTGGTTCAGTCCTCAGCTCAGCCCAAGTCCTTCTTGGCTCATCAACACATTGTTTGAGATAGGATTAGGTGAAACTAAGCAAGAGTCATGAGAAGTGGAAACCATTAAGAGGAGGAATTACAGCCATACTTAGTGCCCAGAC